CCATATCGTCTGAACGTGAGCTACTCTACTGTTTTGATCAGTTTTCGAGGGTTTTACTTCCAGCTAGATGCTAATTTACTTAAGTATGGTGGTTATTATTTTTCCTAATTTAATATTAATTATTCTTTTTTTGTTGTTTTTACTTGATGAACTCTGGCGGGTATGATCGTGTTGGCAAAGGCCTAGGCGAATGCATCTTTCCTGGAATTCTCTGTGATAGTACTTAAGATAATTCTCAGTGCCTTACCGTGGACTTCTCAAATGTCTTCAATGAGCCTTGCCATTCCTACGACCAAGCTACACCAATCCATATCCTGGCCAAATTTCTGCTAAACACTTGTTGCATATTGTTCTGGTATGTCTACCTATCCTCGTATTCCTACACTTTCAGTGTCGTACTTTCTTCAGAAGTGCGTCATTTTGGGAGGGATTAATCAGTCCTCGCCAGTTTCCTTTTATCCCACATTGTGCAATGTTGATCTGCCTTGTCCTTTATGTCTGCAATCTACATAAACCAACTCCCACTAATCCCGCTCGTGCCTTGGACGGGATGATCCATTTCTCATCTGCCTGCTTTACCTTGCTATTGTATCCCTTTTACTCAAGGCGTTATTCTGATCATGTTCGGTGAGATTACAATATACGCGCTATCATGGGAAGTAATCCCTTGACTAAAAGAGATGCGGTGAAATCATTGAAGCAGAGAGATAAGAAGCTGATCAGATCATCTAGGACATGATGGACTTCCCCTGTAGATTATTGTAACTTGGTCCTAAGAGTAGCAATATTCGCTAACGATGTAGGTGAAACGTCTGGAATGTCAACGATACACGGTGAAATGTCATGAATACTACCACAGGGGGCTCGTAGTAAGATGCGTTCATCGGGTCGTCCTGAGAACATGACTATTCACCAATTTTCTCACTAATGCCACGCCACAACATCAGTCCGCCATTGGAGGTATAAATACTATGAAGATGGCGAATACGCAAAATAGTCGAAACCTATGTAATTTAAGTAGAACCGGGAAAGGTTACATCGGGCCTTGAAAGGGTCCAAGTTTGCTGGTGTCGAAACATACATGTTGTTACAAACGAAGGGAAAGAATTGAGTATGCCGGACTTTCCGGGCAAGATAGCTCAGGGCCCCGCATCCATATTGGATCTGGCTCCATTTAAACTTGTGGCACTCGCGAGCAGACTTGGACGGAATAAAGTATGAACTTTTTCGCTTTGAATTCTACTGTGCACGATTTTTATCCCAAAGCTATACAATAAGAGCTTAATAAAAAAAGTCCTCATTCGTAGCAAAGCGGACCGGGCTCTACTAAGCTAGATAATACTGTTTTGAACGTATCTGTATCATGAGTGAATATAGGCAAAAAGTGGAAGCCAATGTCATCAGATTTATTTTAGTCTTGCTCATTCTCAGAGGAGCTGGGTTCCTCCAGATCCTCGTCTACGTCCGATTGCGTCACAGCTATGCTCGCCGGGAGTTCACGCAGAACCTGAAGCATATCTTGTGCTAGATCTTCATCGCCCATCTTCAGAAACATCTGAGAAGACAAAATGCGTAAATGGCAGAAAAATAAATTAAGACAATTTTCCTTTGAATTCAAACTGCACGCCTGTTTTGGCCGACCGTCAATTATTATATTTTTAAGAGATTTTATCTTCTGTATTGTGTTTCTTTCAGAATATAAAAACATCTAGGGGATTTGATCTTATCTTTAATCCAATATCAGCACGCCAACTTTATGTCGATGAAAATAAGTCGACCGACATATGCCGTCTATTTTAGACGTGTCCATCTGACCCGAACACTTCTGCGTCAGATTTCATCGATGTCTTTCTCTAATACCTTGTCCTGGAAAGGCGGGGCTGCCGTGAGGCCTCATTTTCTTCCAGAAAATTAGTCCCTATATGGCCTTAAGCAATGGCTTTCGGAACCGTATGGCGAGTTGTAGATTGGCGCTCGGTGGCCTGTTGACGCGGACACACCATAGTTAACGTTTTATACTGGGAGAACACAAG